AGGACAAAGAAATCATCTCAGATGAGCTGGTTGCGACAGGATTCACACAAAACATTCACACCCCCCAGCAACACGCTCCAGCTCCACACACCGATAATTAAAAACAGCCGACTCGACATTGAGGACAAAGAAATCATCTCAGATGAGCTGGTTGCGACAGGATTCACACAAAACATTCACACCCCCCAGCAACACGCTCCAGCTCCACACACCGATAATTAAAAACAGCCGACTCGACATTGAGGACAAAGAAATCATCTCAGATGAGCTGGTTGCGACAGGATTCACACAAAACATTCACACCCCCCAGCAACACGCTCCAGCTCCACACACCGATAATTAAAACAGCCGACTCGACATTGAGGACAAAGAAATCATCTCAGATGAGCTGGTTGCGACAGGATTCACACAAAACATTCACACCCCCCAGCAACACGCTCCAGCTCCACACACCGATAATTAAAAACAGCCAACTCGACATTGAGGACAATGAAATCATCATACTGGTTTGCGACAGGATTCACACAAAACATTCACACCCCCAACAACACGCTCCAGATCCACACACCGATAATTAAAAACAGCCAACTCGACATTGAGGACAATGAAATCATCATACTGGTTTGCGACAGGATTCACACCAAAGAGAGCAGAACGAATCACGTCATTCAAAACCAAACAAAAAACACCACTAGTAAAAGTCAGCTTTGAGGCTAAAGATGAATATAAGTCTCTACTCTCGAACGGCTGTACACGAACCCGCTAAACCACCCTCTAGGTTAGTACTGCACTGTTGTTGTTGAGATGCATATTTTTTCTGCACGTATAAGGCACTCCGTAATTGTACGGCAGTAATTATCGATCGTAGTACAGTTTCAGCACGATTAATAGTTTTTCCGGCAGATTATGGTTTAATATTTCATGGTATTTTGCCCAGATCACTTTTCTGTAATGAACATGTTCAAAGCTTTGTATATTTGTTGAATTTCTTGCAAAGCTACTCGACAGTGAGGTGACATCTGATTGGTCGAGTCGCTCTAAGCTTCCTTCATTACGCTGTTGTGTGAATATTCATCCTGATATCGCGCGCTACGATTTTCCGTAGGGCAGAGCGCTACTTTTTAGAACATCTGGCGAAATCTATCGGTAAATAATATTCAAATGGTAGGGCCAGATGGAGGTAGGGCAAATGGGCGCAATTACCACGGGCACCTCAAAGAGAAAAATAGAAAAATCAAAACTGGATGTCTCATTGAAAAACATATGTTTGCAATGTGTCACTATGGCAATAGCGATTTAAGTCGTTTAATATAAACCTGTTAAAGCTTGATCTCTCATAAGTTCCCCCGGTAAGTCTACGGATTTCTAACGCTA